TACATAAAATAAAAATAAAAAGAAGACGTACAACTTCTATAATTTTATAAATAATAATGTCATTATATGACAAAAAGTGTATAATAAAATAATAATTAAGTATTATGGTGACCAAAAATAAGTAAAATTATTATTCTCTCTTATATCAACGAATAAATATATATTCTATCTTAGTGAAATAATATATTAATTATTTTAATATTTTGACTAAAAAAAATAACGTTTTTTTTTAAGAGGTGCAAATTATATTATAACCTTATTGTTTATTATACTTAATGCAGATTAAAAGAGATGAAAAATAGATGATAATACTATTACTATATATACTTAAACGGACAAAGTATGTAAAAATAACTTATTTAATATTTCTGTCTCGTGCATCGCACGGGGTACATACTAGTTTGATCTAATGCTATTTAATTTACTTCCAAAATCCTTAATGCTATTTAATTTACTTCCAAAATCCTTCTCTATCGATTTTTTTTTTCAACCGTTCCATTTTGGGATTGGTTACCTTCATTAGCCCCATAATTTGCGTCAATTAATCATTCACTGATGACGACAAGTTTACCTTCCATATTCTCGGTCAGATTCATTATCTTGGAATTGACTATGGTTAACCAAAATAATTTATTTTGAACAAATTATTCCATAAACAATCGAACCCTTAACCTTTGCTTCTCATTAACTGGGATGTCTGGGAATCAAAGTTTAGTGGAGTGACATATATGTTCTTTAGCCTAAAAGATAAGGGCTAGTTCCAATTGGGCCTGTTATTAGAAAAGTCCAATCTGTGCTTTTGGGTTTAACTTCGGGTCGATAACTTGAAACTGGACTTCCTTTAGAAAAGTCCAATCTGTTATTAGAAAAGTCTAACAGAATCTATTCCCAAGATTGCAACATCTTTCATATTGAAATATATACTTGCAAACAATACCCCAAATCCCTACTCACCATGCCAAGCACTCGGAAATATTTTCATGCACTAAAAACTTCAAGAAAAACCCAATTTACTTCATTCCCCGTTGTCCATAAGCAGTTGTTCATGTGATCGCTTTTCGCACTCCACGCATGCCTAGACGAACACAAAAAAATCATACATGTGGGTTTAGAACAAGATTTGCAAGTACCTCTTAGTGAAGTATCCGAAATAAACGCACCATACGAGCATTAGGTAAATATAAAACTAGGTAAGGCCTTGTGCCATGCCCTGTTTTCACTAATATAATACTTAAACTCGCGGCATGCTAATGTTCAAAGATGATGGGAGTCTTCCCCAATCATCATGGTTAGATATCTTGAGATGCACGTCTTTTTTCAGTGTTGTGTAATGAGAAGAAACTATTAAAACCCAATAATTTATCGAACTTCACATGTGTGAACTGGAAAAGAAGAATGACGAATATTGTTTTGATTACAAAGCCCAAATGAACACACTTTGTTCTTGCACTTTGAAGTGTTTTCAAATAACATGTGTCAATTCTTTTGAAAGACTACTTGAAATTTAAAGGAAACACATACCTGACAACAGCAAAAGCCCAACGCACGACAAGAAAATATATACGATGCATTAAAACGCATGACAAGTAAAGCATCCACTCAATGAACCAATGGGCCGAGTCCTCCGGAAGAATAATGCTCTGTCCGGCCCTCCTGCAGTTTGATTTCCGAGCATGGAGCCTCTCCTTTCCTGGGCCTTTTTTTGGGCAGATCTCAGTTTGCTCATTATTTTATCCATGGATGATGACCTCTTCTTTTCCAGTTTCATCTATAAACCATACAAAAATCAATCAACTTGCATAAAATTCTTAAAGGTTCGTTCTTCATCGTTTGCAAGTAGTGTTTGTTGGAAGTGGCCACACGGCTCCAAGTTACCTCGAGTTTTCTTATTGCAGTTTCGGCTTTCGCTTTCTGCAGGTTTTCCCAGGCTGTGATTTTTGCTTCCTCCCTTACAATCCTGCAATTGGTTAGGTATAAAAAGGTAGATGGATATAAACATTTATTTATTTAATGAATTTGTGGTGAACAATTGTTCCACGAAATCATATTATAACAGTTCAATATACTTCAGATTTATCATTTTCTCTGAACTTAAACAGCTTAAAAAAAAAAAAAACATGCCTCTTTTT